GGATTACATTCCTCACTAGCACTTCAACTAAACTACTAGGTATCAGGTTCAAGATTGTAAATATTTAGTACATTAACCCAAGTCCTCTCAAAGTCCAGTTGCTTATATTTAAAATAATTGTTGTATCTCCCACTGGATTTATAGCACTAGCACCCAGAAGACATACATTTGTAAAATGACTTTTCTGTTGTTACGCATGCCAAAAATGGTTGTGTGGTTTCCCAAATAGAGAATGCACATTAGAGAATGCATGGTGTTTACAGTTTACATTACTGCTCTCCAACTTTTCCACCAAGGCATCACATTCTAGCCATTAAGAGTAATCAAGCATAGAAACTTGTGAAGGGAAAAATACAGAAGCTGACATTGCTGACCTATCCTTCTGTAAATGTGAATTCCCCGACTGTCATGGTGACCCTCTGGCTTCAATTATGTCTGAGTCACTGATAAAGAACAAATAAATACATCAGGCATTTTAACTAAAAGTGCAAGTTTACAGTAATTCAGAAAATACCAATATCAGTGCCAGAATAATATACAGAGTAGAAACAAAAGTGCCACAGAAAATACATGCATCAGTACCACTATAATTCTTTAAAAGGTTAAAAATAATTTCTAGATAGTCTCTGAAGTTTTTTTTTCTCATCTTCATGTGGAGATCTATGACGTAAAAGAGTTCTTTGTTAGAATTTTAATACATGCAATGGGTTGTGCTATTTACTGTTTGCCAATTGCCTGTAATTCTTTGTTAATCAATGCTTTCTTGAGCTGCATGGGTAATTAATGGGTAATTAATTTTTTCCCTTCTTCTATTTTATTTGTGTATTGGTATATAGCTACCCCTTTTTTGTTTAACATTTATAGAAGGTAGAACACAATTATTGTGTTTTATTTTATTAGATAAAACAACGTTAATCTTTTTCAAAAAATGTTACCAGTATACAGAGTGCCAGTTCATATGTTTCCATGTCACATATGCACTCTGTAGCTTACTATGCACAAGATTACGGTAACTAATCCCAATACCTAGAATAGTGGCAGAAATGTGACATCACATTTTAATAAAATAATGTGGATCTACTGTAGGTAATCCATCCCACAAGAGAATAACACAACAGCTCACAAATAAGCTGATACAGATTGTCACCCCACAAAGCTGCATCTCTCTCCAAGAATCTCCACAAACTGATTTGCCATAAATGTCACAGCATACCTCCAAAAAATTGGCCACACAATTTTGAAACAAGAGCCAAACATTCAAGGTAGACAAAATAAACAGATTTCAAATAAGAGGAAACAGTTTAAACTCATGACAAGATGGTATAGAACATTTTTGGTTCTTTCCTGGAATCTCAGACAAATCTTGGAGATGTCATGCAGCTAGAGAAACTCTCATATGCAATTGTGGGAGTGTCCAAAAATTGAGCAGTTCTGTCCGTGATTCACTAAAATCATTCATAAACACATTGATATTGACATAGGTCATGCTGCAGTTTGCTTACTGCACATCACTCCGATACTGAAGGACAATAAAAGTATATTGATACAGTAATACTTCTAAATACAGCAAAAGCCAGTATTCCAGGTTCCTGGAAACCTTACGACCAAGCTCATTGGTTTGCCAGGATGGCTGACAAAATACATATGGAAGATCTCACTGCAGAACTTAATGATAAACCAGGGAATTAACTTAGCTTCCTGCACCATTATGATGGCACAGGAAACAATCAGAACTGGTATGCACCACATTAACTGAGCAGATAGACCTGTTTCAGGTCTATCTGCACCACCAGAACCAGTTTCTATTTCAGAATGAAATAGAATTTAGCTCAGGTCTGCAATTGAATAACCAGTTCCCTCCTGGCCTGTTGTAATATGAGAGCCGGGCAGGTCTTTTGTCATTCTGGGTAGAAGTCATATGATATCCTTCTGGAATGTGCCTTGAGTGCGGCCATGAGGCCACACTGCATTGCGAACTGTCACCATCTGTGTCCACTAGACACAGTCAATAGCTGATCACTGTACCGCTGCCAGTACCATGTGATCAGTGGGACCAATCACAGCAGATCACACAATTGTAAACAATGGTTTCCTGTCATGCCATTCATTGCTTACATAGTTAGTCTGGCTAAAAAAAAAAAACAAAAGTCCATTTAGTTCAACCGAAAAAAAAAAAAAAAAGTTATAATCCTATACCCACAATTGATCCAGAGGAAGGCAAAAATACCTAGCAAAGCATGATCCAATGTGCTCCTGCAGGGAGAAAAAATTCCTTCCTGATCCCCCGAGAGGCAATCAGATATTCCCTGGTTCAGCTTTACCTATAAATGTTAGTATGCAGTTATATTCTGTGTATCTAGGAAAGAATCCAGGACTTTTTAAAGCAATCCACTGAGCTGGCCAGAACCAACTTTTGAGGGAGTCTATTCCACATTTTCACAGCTCTTTCTGTGAAGAAACCTTTCCATATCTGGAGATTAAATCTCTTTTACTCCAGATGTAAAGAGTGCCCCCTTGTCCTCTGTGATGACCTCAGGGTGAATAACTCTACACAGAGTTCACTGATGTATTTATATATGTTGAGCATATCCACCCTTAATCTCCTCTTCTCAAGAGAGAATAAAGTCAGTTCCTCTAATCTTTCCTCATATCTGAGCTCCTCCATGCCTCTTATTAGTTTGATTGCCCTTCTCTGCACTTTCTCCAGTTCCCCAATGTTCTTTTTGTGAATTGATTCCCAAAACTGAACTGCATATTCCAGATGAGGTATTACTAATGATTTGTACAGGGGTAAAATGATCTCTCTCTCTGGAGTCTATACCTCGTTTAATACAAGAGAGGATTTTGCTCACTTTAGAAACCGCAGCTTGGCATTGCATGCCATTATTAACCACTTGCCTACCAGGCACTTTTACCCCCCTTCCTGCCCAGGCCAATTTTTAGCTTTCAGTGCTGTTGAATGACAATACTTGGTCATGCAACACTGTACCCATATTAAATTTTTATCATTTTTTTCACACAAATAGAGCTTTCTTTATTTAATCGCCATTGGGGTTTTTATTTTTTCGCACTATAAACAAAAAAGAGCAACCGATTTTGAAAAAAGTTTTTCTTTGTTTTTATTAGAAAATTTTGCAAGCAGGTAATTTTTCTCCTTCACTGATGTGTGTTGATTAGGCAGCACTGATGGGCACTGATGAGGCGGTGCTGATAGGTAGCACTGATGGACACTGATAGGCTGCACTGATGAGGTTGCACTGATGAGGCGGCACTGGTGGGCATTGATGAGGAAGCACTGATTATGCACTGATATGCAGCAATGATGGGCACTGATAGGCGGCACTTACTGATAACATTGACTGGAGGCACTGACTGGCAACACTGCTGGGCACTGACGGTCGGCACTGATGGGCAGCACTGATGGGTGGCACTGCTGGGCACTGATGGGTGACACTGCTGAGCATTGATGGGTGGCACTGTTGGGCGGCACTGCTGGGTGGCCCTGATTATCAGAGAAGATCTCCTCTGTCACATTTGCCAGTTATCGGCAGTAGTTTCCTCACGCAGTGACAGCGTGAGGAAAGTGCTGCCAATAATGGCAACTGTATTTACTTTGTGCTCTGCTGTGTCATTGGACACAGCTGATCACGTGGTAAAAGGCCACTGTGATTGGCCTTTTACCTTGTCATGTGATGAGCTGTGTTCGTAAGAAACTGGGCAACCGCACTGTGGCTGTCTTTCAGCTATAGCACGGTTGGCAAGCAGTTAAGCTAATGATCTACCAGGACGTCCTTCTCCACCACTGATTCCCCAAGCTGTACTCCCCCTAGTATGTATGATGCATGCATATTCTTAGCCCCCAAGTGTAACTTTAACCTTACATTTATCAACATTAAACCTCATTTGCCACATAGTTGCCCAATTAAACAGTGCATTGAGGCCGGCTTGTAAGTTGGAGACATCCTGTAAGGACGTTATTCCACTGCACAGCTTGGTGTCATCTGCAAAGACTGAAATGGGATTTTTAATCTCAGACCCTCTATCGTTTATAAATATATGGAAAGTAAGGGTTCCAACAGTGAACCTTGGGGTACACCACTAACAACCCTAGACCATGCAGAATATGAATCATTAACCACTACTCTCTGAATACAATCTTTTAGCCAGTTTCCTATCCATTTACATACCAATTTTTCCAAGCCTATAGACATTACCTTACACATTAGCCGTCTGTGAGAAACGGTTTCAAACGCTTTTGCAAAATTCAAGTGTACTACGTCCACCGCCACCCCTCTGTCCAAGGTTTTGCTCACCTCCTCATAAAAAGAAATCAGATTTGTTTGACAATTTCTGTTTTTCATGAATTCATGCTGTCTGTTGCTTAAAATATTTTTCTTCCAGCAAGAACTCATCTGTGTGGTCTTTTATTAAACTCTCCAGTATCTTCCCAACTATAGAAGTTAAACTAACAGGTCTATAATTACTTGGTAAAGATTTTGATCCCTTTTTAAATATAGGCACCACGTTGGCCTTATACCAATCCAGTAGTACTATGCCAATAATAAACGAGTCCCTAAAAATTAGAAACAATGAAAATGACAGAGCTCAATTCTTTAACCTTACCTACTGGACACTTATACCTTTTTCCTGCGCAGGCCAATTTTCAGCTTTCAGCGCTTTTGCACTTTGAATGACAATTCCGCAGTCATGCAATAGATGAAATTTTTATTATTTTTTTTCACACAAATAGAGATTTATTTTGGTTGTATTTACTCACTACTGGGTGTTTTTGTTTTTGTGCTACAAACAAAAAAGGAGCAAAAAAGTAAAAAAGTTTTTCTTTGTTTCTATTATAAAAATTTGCAAACAGGTAATTGTTCTCCTTCACTGGTGTGCATTGATGAGGCAGCACTGATAGGCAGCACTGATGAGGTGGCATGGATAGGCGGCACTGATGAGGTGGCATGGATAGGCAGAAACTGATGGGCACTGATAGGCGGCACTGATGAGTGATGAGGTGGCACTGATGATACTGCGCTGATATGCAACAATGATGGGCGGTGATAGGCGGCACTGATGGGCACTCCTGATGGGCACTGATGTGTGGCATTGGCTGGTGGCACTGCTGGACACTGATGGGTGAAACTGATCGGTAGCATTGATGGGTGGCACTGATAGAGGGCACTGCTGGACTCTAATGGGTGGCACTGATGGGTAGCACTGATGGGTGGCACTGTTGGGCACAGGTGAGTGGCATTACTAGGCACTGATGAGCACATGTGGGTGGCACTGCTGGGCACAGGTGGGTGGCACTGCTGTACACTTGTGGGCAGCACTGCTGGACACAGGTGGGCAGCACTGGTGGGTGGCACTGCTGGGCATTGATCATCAGGGCACTGATCATCAGTGCCCTGATGATCAGTGCTGATCCGTACTCTGACAATTGCTGGTTATCGACAGTACTTTCCTCACGCTTTGATAGCATGAGGAAAGTGCAGCCAATAATCGGCAACTATATTTACCGGGTGATCTGCTATGTCATTGGACACAGCTGATCACATGGTAAAAGGCTGCTGTGATTGGCCTTTTACCACATCACGTGATCAGCTGTGCCCTATGGACACAGCGATCACGGAGATCTCCAGGTGCGCACCACCGTGGGTGCGCAACCGGGGGGCGCACGGGAGGGCAAGTTCTGGGAGGACGTCATATGACGCCCTCCCAGAACTGAACAACCGTGCTGTAGCCATCATTCGGCTATAGCGCAGTTGTCAAGTGGTTAAGAACCCGTGGCTGAATGCCATCCGGTCCAGGTGCTTTATTCGCCTTTATTTGGTCTAAATATTTCTGGATCATATCAATTGTGAGCCAATGTGGATCATCTGGGGCTTTGTCAATACAATGCCCATTATGGACAAGAGCTCCCCCATGCTCCATTGTATACACAGAGCTGAAGAAGGTATTTAATAAATTTGCCTTCTCTTTGTCCCCAGTCACCCACTCATTTTTTTTGTAAGGGGCCTACATGCACAGACCTGACCTTTTTACTATTAATATACAGTACACTGCTCAAAAACATTAAAGGAACACTTTGAAAACACATAAGATCTCAATGGGGAAAATATCATGCTGGATATCTATACTGATATGGACTGGGTAATGTGTTAGGAATGTAAGGATGACCCATCATTTGATGGAAATGAAAATTATCAACCTACAGAGGACTCAAAGACACCCTGAAAATCAAAGTGAAAAAAATTATGCAGCAGGCTAGTCCATTTTGCTGAAACTTCATTGCAGCAACTCAGAATGGTATTCAGTAGTTTGTATGGCCCCCACGTGCTTGTATGCATGCCTGACAATGTTAGAGCATGCTCCTAATGAGATGACAGATGGTGTCCTGGGGTATTTGCTCCCAGATCTGGACCAGGGCATCACTTAGCTCCTGGAAAGTCTGAGGTGCAACCTAGTGGGGTCGGATAGACCAAAACATGATATCCCAGAGGTGTTCTATTGGATTTAGGTCAGACAAGCATGGGGGCCATTCAATGGTATCAATTCTATCATCCTCCAGAAACTGCCTGCATACTCTCGCCACATGAGGCTGGGCATTGTTGTGCACCAGGAGGGACTCAGGACCCACTGCGCCACCACCAGTGACTGACAATGGGTCCAAGGATTTCATCCCGATACCTAATGGCAGTTAGGGTGCCATTATCTAGCCTGTAGAAGTCTGTGTATCCCTCCAGGGATATGCCTCCCCAGACCATCACTCACCCACCACCAAAATGGTCATGTTAAATGATGTTACAGGCAGCATAACATTCTCCATGGCTTCTCCAGACCCTTTCACATCTGTCACATGTGCTCAGGGTGAACTTGCTCTCATCTGTGAAAAGCACAGGGTGCCAGTGGTGGACCTGATAATTCTGGTGTTCATTGGCAAATGCCAGTCGAGCTCTATGGTGCCAGGCAGTGAGCAGAGGGCCCACTAAAGGACATCGGGCCCTCCAGCCACCCTCATGAAGTCTGTTTCTGATTGTTTGGTCAGACACATTCACACCAGTGGCCTGCTGGAGGTCATTTTGTAAGGCTCTGGCAGTGCTTATCCTGTTCTTCCTTGCACAAAGGAGCAGATACCAGTCCTGCTGATGGGTTAAGGATCTTTTACAGCCCTGTCCAGCTCTCCTAGAGTAAGATTGTGTTGGGAGAAAAACAGCAAACCTTCTGGCAATGGCACATATGGATGTGCCATCCTGGAAGAGTTGGAGTGCCTGTGCAACCTCTGTATCACCTCATGCTACCAGTAGTGACACTTACCCTAGCCAAATACAAAACTAGTGAAAAACAGTCAGAAAAGATGAGTAGGGAAAAAGATGTCGGTGGCCTCCACCTGTAAAACCATTCCTGTTTTGGGGGGCCGTTTCATTGTTGCCCATCTAGTGCACCTGTTGTTAATTTAATTAACACAAAAGCAGCTGAAACTGATTAACAATCCCCTATGCTACTTAACTGACCAGATCAATGTCCCAGGAGTTTATTTGACTTGATGCTATACTCTGATTAAAAAGTGTTTCTTTAATTTTTTTTGAGCAGTGTATTTGAAGAATTTTTTGGAGTTTGTCCTGCTATCTTTTGCAATCTGTTGTTCGCTTACAATTGTGTTGATAGCTGTGATTGGGCACAGTGATCACATGGTAAAGACAGGGCCAATCACAGTCCATCTGTAACATGTGATTAGCTGTGGCCAACCACAGCTAACTATAATAATACATAATGAATCAGTTTTGTTCAGTAAAAATGGTTGTTTATACCAGTGAAATTCGCTGTTATAATCAATCATAATATGTAAACTAAAAAAAAAAAAAATCCTGAACACTTGCCCCTAGTAGTATTTACTAAAAGCTAGAGCGCTCAGAGCGCTATGGATCAGCTGTGCATGGTAGCCAATCAGCTTCTAACTTCAGCTTGTTCAATTAAGCTTTGGCAATAAAACCTGGAAGCTGACTGGTTTCTATGCAGAAGTGAGCCTGATTTTGCACTCTGTAGCTTTAGTAAATAACTCCAGTGTTACTTTGGTAATACTGTATTGCTCTGGTCACAGAGCAATACAGTCACCATTCAGTGTCTATGATCTTTTTCTACATAATGTCACCGTTCAGTGTCTATGATCATTGCCACACCAGTTATGTGATTAAGCTGTATTGTATTGGTGACAGTATGTAGAAAAAAAATTTGAAAAAAATGTTTAATTTCTTCATCTTTCAAAAAGTTATGACAAAAAAATTACAACTTCAAAAAACTTGCCATGACTTTCTAAATACCTTAGACATTCTACTTTTCAAAAAGGGGTCATTTGTACTGTCCTGACACTTTTGGACCTCAAGAAATTAGACAGGCGATCAGTATATCAGGTTTGATCAATTTTCATATATACATTATATTACCAAAAGTATTGGGATGCCTGCCTGCCTGCCTACACACACACAAACTTTAATGGCATCCCAGACTTAGTCCTTAGGGTTCAATATTGAGTTGGCCCACCCTTTGCAGCTATAACAGCTTCAACCTTTATGGAAAGGCTGTCCACAAGGATTAGGAGTGTGTCTATGGGAATGTTTGACCATTCTTCCAGAAGCACATTTATGAGGTCAGGCACTGATGTTGAACAAGAAGGCCTGGCTCTCAGTCTCTGCTCTAATTCATCCCAAAGGTGTTCTATCAGGTTGAGGTCAGGACACTGTGCAGGCCAGTCAAATTCCTCCACCCCAAACTCACTCATCCGTATCTTTATGGATCTTCCTTTGTGCACTGGTGCGCAGTCATGTTGAAACAGGAAGGGACCATCCTCAAACTGTTCCACAAAATTGGGAGCATGAATTGTCCAAAATGTCTTGATATGCTGATGCAGGGTGTTCCAATATGTTTTGCAATATAGTGTATACATACACAATATTGCCCAAAGTATTCATTGGATTCAGATGTTCCAATCACCTCCATGGCCACAGATGTATAAAATCAAGCACCTAGGTATGAAGACTGCATCTACAAATATTTGTGAAAGAACGGGTGCGGTGATAGGTTGCCACCTGTGCAATAAGTCCATCAGTGAAATTTCCTTGCTACTAAATATACCACAGTTAACTGTTAGTGGTATTATAACAAAGTGGAAGCAACTGGGAACAACAACAACTCAGCCACAAAGTGGTAAGCCACGTAAAATGGCAGAGCGGGGGTGTCAGTCAGCGCATTCTGAAGAGTATAGTGCGCTGAAGTCGCCAACTGTCTGTAGAGTCAATAGCTAAAGACCTCCAAACTTCATGTGGCCTTCATATTAGCACAACAAAAGTGCATAGAGAGCTTCATGGAAAGGGTTTCTTGGCCAAGCAGCTGCATCTAAGCCTTACATCATCAAGTGCAATGAAAAGTGTAAAGCACGCCGCCACTGGACTCTAGAGCAGTGGAAATGTGTTCTCTGGAGTGATGAATCATGCTTCTCTGTCTGGCAATCCAATGGACACGTCTGGGTTTGGCAGTCGCCAGGAAAACGGTACTTGACTGACTGCATTGTGCTAAGTATAAAGCTTGGTGGAGTGGGGATTATGGTGCGGGGTAATTTTTCAGGGCTTGGGCTTGGCCCCTTAGTTCCAATGATGGGAACTCCTAAGGTGTCAGTATGCCAAGACATTTTGTAATAGTGGTCAAACATTCCCATAGACACACTCCTAAATCTTGTGGCTAGCCTTCCCAGAAGAGTTGAAGCTGTTATAGCTGCAAAGGGTGGGCCAAATCAATATTGAACTTTGCTAACTAAGACTGGGATGCCATTAAAGTTAATGTGGGTGTAAAGGCAGGTGTCCCAATACTTTTGGCAATATAGTGTGTATATATATATATATATATATATATATATATATATATATATATATACACACACATATATACACACACACACACACTGTATACACTATAGGCCCACCTGAGGCCTTCTGGTAGAATGAGCCAGGGGAGGCGGCCACCTCCCTGACTGGAACTCCCTTCTCAGAGGAGGAGGAGGAGGAAGAATAAACTAGATCCCATGGGCTCACTGAATATAAATAGCAGCATGCTCAGTGGCACCACTCCCTGTAATTGGTTGGAACTGCATCCATATTCATGCTGCTGATCTGCATGGGTCACTCCTGTTCAACCAGAACCTTCCAAGGTCAACTGGATACAGAGGAGCCAATCACAGCAGCAGCACTGTGAGCCACACAGGATATCCTCACTAAACAATTGTAGCTTTTCTGTTAAGCAGAAAAGCTGCTATGTTTTTCCTATCAGTCTTCTGTTAAGCAGGATACCACACTATACTAAGGTAGACTATATACATCCTAACAACCAACCTAGGAGGGAGCTACACAC